ATCTACGAGCAAGAGGGGGTGGCAGCTAGAAATGAAAAGGATTAAAGGTGAAAGACGTCGGAAAGACGAGGGAGGATAGTCAGAAAAGCGAAAACCAGGTCATCCTTTCGATGGAAGTACCTTTTTTGTTAATTGGCCGCGTTTAACCAGCGGAGAAGGGGGAATTCCATCGTAACCGCATTTTAATATACAAGCTCGCTGGTTCGTTACAATCGATCTCTCGACGCGCGGCGCATATTTCGCGTGTGCATGAAACGCGAGATTGTTCCTTTACCCGTATACATTATTTCCCAAGTCAGTTGTAAAAGCGTTCGTGCTCTTTGATTTTCTCTCCTTTTCCCCTTCATTTGTAAGGTTACCTACACCCGAAGGGTTGTTGGATACCACGTTGGTTCTCGGTGCTCCGCGTTTACGGTTTTAAAGCACTGCGAGCAACGTTATTTGTTTGCGGGAAAACTGGATGTTCAAACAGGAAGTTTCTTTTTCGCGATACTCTTGAAAATATTTCATATTATAGTTGTTGGTATTTTTGTATTAGCTTCGTATTTTCTATAGCTTTCGAATATCGAGTTGGAAGCATAATACGGACATTCAATTGAATCTCGTAATTAAATATTTCTCTTCATCGATATAAACATTGAACTTCCGATAAATTGATGTAATAACCTATAATAAATTGATAATTTTTTCTTATTGGGAAATGATTAACAATAAGATAATTCTTTCGAATTAAATTAAGGAACAATCGGTAAACAATTAATTCTACTTCACATATTAAATCCACCTTCGACTATCATATAAACAAGTACAATTCAAATATATATTAAATTTCAAAGAAGCATTCGTAAAGTGAATATTATGAATGGTAAAATTCACTGAAAAATGGTACAACGCGACAGTCCCACAGTGTTTCCCGAAACGAATGAATAAATTTCATTTGCGACGCATAAAAACGCAGAATGTGGCATAAAGTAAAAGTACCGTAGTACACAGATAAAAGAAAGGGTGTTGTAGCCATAAAATGTGCAAGGGACGCCGACTGTCCGTGAATTAGCATACTCGCATTCCGACGAAGATAAATAATTTCACGTGCATACACAGGGCCCGCTTGTGCTTTCGTAAGTGTCCACACTAGCTGCACTCAGGGGAGACCGCATAAAAGCTCTTCTAAATGCATTAGAAGTTCCATCAGGCTTATAAACACGGCCGCGATGAACGTGGTCTCTCGCCGCGGCATCGCGCCGTAGTATCTACCATTTGGTGCACCGCAACCGAACAAAGATCACTGAAACGATCTTAATAGCCCATAGATTGCGATCAGCAGAATTGCCGAGCCCCGAGATTTTTCCACCGTTCAATTAGCGCTTCGATTACGGCCTCCTGTATCCTTCGAATCCTTACGAGAACGATTTAATACGCGACAATGAAAGGGGAAACTTTCCGCTGGAAATTGATACGTTTTACCACTATCCCTCCTATTTTTTCGTAAAAATAAAGTGAAGCTAACATTTACTGAAACAGTAAAATAGTAAAGAGGATAATATTGCATAAGACCCCTCGTGCACGCGATGGCGTATGCACCTGGGACGCGTTTCATCTCTGAATGGTCGAACATAAAAAAAATGTAAATTAAAATTAAATGGTATTGGATATTTCGCGCTCTTATCTCGCTACCGTAGACTCGTGCATTAGTGTAACTGAAATATGTAACTGCAGTTTTTCCTTTTCAAGGAACTTCATAAGTACTTTCAGGTGCTCTTATCGATGCGCCTTTTTTCCTCGCGAAAGAATGTTGTAATGAGTGTACATTGAAGGTTTTGTATTAGGTAATTCTATCATTTGTATGTTATAAATAATTGTTACGTATTCATTGTAGAGGGTAAAGAATTTTATGGATCAGCTCATTTAGAATTTTACGACTATAATAAAAAGAAAGAACAACGCTTTCTAGATGCATCGATGCACAAGGGTACATTAGGGTCATATGAAAGTGTGCATGGTCTTATATTATGCAATTTTATTAGATCATTTTTTCCCCTCTTCAGCCGTTTTAATGATATATCTCGCCCTAGTTGCGTGACACTTTGCACACCTTTACTAACGAAAAGTTCCAAGTTAGAATTAAGAAGAACAATGAATTTCAGAAAATTGTTCCTATATCACAGTCAATATTTACTGGTTACGCGGTAATTTATAAGAAACTTGGTTTAATCTGACTAAATAGTTTTCACATCAAAATATTTCGTAGTCATTTCTAAAAGGAAAATGCTGGTTAAAATCACATCACATACAAGTTTCAACAAAATATATTCATTTTTCTCTCGCAACTCAATCTCACGGGATAAGTACGCCAGAAATTTTAGCTTCCCAGCGCGAGCGGTGTTCGTGAGGCTAAATCTGGCGAAATGGGCCGCCACACTGCCACTTCGCTCTTAATATGTACGCTCTGCTTGAATATTATACCTTCTGTTTAAACTCATTTTGAAGCTGGTTGAATGCTTCTTTGTGCCAACTGCCGTGCGGATTAATTACCTCGAAACAGAAATGTCATAGTAAAATGACCACCGCCAACATTTCAAATTAAAATATCGACATCGCGAACCCTCCAAAAATGAACTCCCAAAGGAAGCTTCATTCCACATTTTGAATTTATTTCCGTAGTCGATATTCGTATAAGCTTTCCGATCTTCGCATATTTCGTGCTTCAATAATTCATATATGCAAAATAGCACCTGTTCCGTTCCTTTTTTAATAAATCCGCAAAGTGAATATTTATACGGAAATTCATTTTCCGCGTCCTCTTTACGCGTAATATTTGCCCCGAGGATGATCGACTGTCACGCGCGGCGCAAGAACAGAAAAATCAATTGGGATCACTTGAACAGAAAGCGCATGAAACGATCAGAAATCAGATTACCCGTTTGCTCCCGCGGATTTACTTTTGGAAAGAAAGTTCTGGTGCCTTTCGTGGCCCCGTAGTCGGCCTGTGCCAGCAATTGTATCACAGAATTCAGACAGCGAGTCGAAGAGAGCAGTGGCTTAAAACGCTTTTAAGCAAATGCTCATTCAATCTTCGTGAAGCTGGTCCCCCAGCATTAGTTGCTCAAAGGCGCATTCTTCCCTGAGAGTCTTGGCTTTCGGAACAACCGGACTACGAATTAAAGAACGCGCGCGGAAGGGGCCGTAAGAAACTTTAAAAGTATCTACTTTGCAAGTTGACGGGAGCGACCGCCGCGATGTGCCTTCCCGTTTTCATACGTTCTTAATGTAACGCGAGCAAAGGGTAATGTTATGCCACCGATACCTGTTCGAGGTCACGTTACCGTCACAATGTTCTTGGGTTTCAAGAAATTAATCTTGACACTGTAACGCGATACAGAGCACCCGAGCGAGTTCGGTTTTTGCATTTTGCACGTTATAATTGTGCGAAATTAGTTTCTTGTGAATTACTCTTCCGTTTTAATTTGATTGGACAATATGAGAAAGAATGGAACATAGCTCTTTTATTTCTTGAATGATTTTCAATTTGTAAAAGTTAATTTAGGTTCCGTTTGTAATGTAATTTACATGAAATTTGTATAATAAATGTATGCGATGTATATACACTGTCTGCAAAAGTTTGGGGCCAATACATCGGTTAGAAGTATAGTAGTAAGAAGTTCCATTTTTTGTAAACTAGTTTTATTAGAATTTGTGTGCGCGATAAAAGAGTAGAAACATATGTGTATTAGTCAAATATGAAATTATACAATGTTTATTATTTTATTTGATATATTTCTAACACGTATAATCTTTAATTCGCGACGTCACATATCAAATGGTTCTAAACTTTTGATCGGCAGTGTATATGTAGTGTGGTATAAACGTATATGTATACGGTAGTGAGAATTAAATTGACGAGATACAATTTAACCTATAAATTAAGTTTCTGTAGATTTCTGATGAAAATTCAAACGGAGTTGCAAATTCTGCGGTCTCTAACTTTTTGAATAAATTTGGAACGAGGAAACGGCGACACTGTAATCACCTCTAATTTCACGCGCAATGCATCGTAATTCAATTGCATCAGAATTCCTGACATCGGGTGCAAGAAGTGATCGATTTGGCACGGGATGGCCCGTATGACGGTAACTTTCCCGATTTCATACGTAGCGGGCGGTTTTAGTTTCGAGCGCCGCCATATTGAAAAAGTTAAGGGAAGTTCCCGGTAGAAGTTAAATAGTACTATTAATGTCTTCGGAAAGGTACTTTTAAAATGGAGATTGTTCTATTAGTGAAATAGTCACAGTGCGAAAGTTAGCGGGACAGTAACAAATATTAACGGGCACATACGTTTCTCAAATAGATCTTTATCGTTAGATTACAAACGTTCGCGAAATTAGGGAACTTTATGACCTGCAAAATGCAGATTTTAATAATATTTGACGCTAGGTGTATCTTATTATTAACAATGAATTTCGTAATTTTACTGAACACAAATCAATCGAAAATTCGTGTGTGAGAAATTACATTACTTTGCCAACAATTATAACATTAACAGAAGTTACAGCATAAGCAAAGACATTACTCCATGTATACAGTTCGCAATTATGTTCAGTGCTCCAGCGTTTAACGTGATTTATTTGCTTTTATTACTGAGAATACTAATATACAATCCATTTATGTCATGAATAACAGATTACTTCGATATTACTGTCGCTACGTAGTGAAAGCTATGCGCGGCAGCTATATTACCAAAATAGCTTGAATAACATTATACTACGACGTAATGTAACGTATCGATTTTCGATGAGGGACTATATTTTATGCAACTTACCACACGTAAAATAGGACTAGAACACTGACTGTATTCAAGCGATTTGAATACATGACACGAGCAACAGTAAAACCGGCATCGATAAAATATCGATGACGGGGTTATAAACAGAAGCACTCAGCTGTATTCAGACCAAGAACCAAGAATAGGATATTTTACTTTATTGCTCTAAAAGATAATACATAACATCGCAGAAGATGCTTCAGCGAGATTCGAGAAGGTTTACGTCCTATTACCTCATACGTTGCCAGTCGCAATTTGGTTCACAAAAATCTGTTACCCGCATAAAATGAAAATCCAAACTAAAGGAATCACTATGAGTGAATGTTTAATCAATAATCTGAAAATGTAACCAAACTATAATTAACTCCTCACTTCAATTTTATTCAGTCTTAATGAATTACTAAAACATCTACATTCACCAGAACACTCCATAACCCTCGATTCCATCAAAATTGCTACTACACAACATTGTCCAACTTATAGCCACACAATCCATTTACACCACGTTGAAAACAAATAAAGCAATGTCGAAGTCACCGTGTAGAATCCTGCGAAATAAACTCTTGAACCAATTTCGGTTTACGAGCTCGTTTAGCCGGCATCGCAGCACATGTACTACGATCCAACGGTCCCATTGACCAATTATTAATACACAGTTTTCCGTCAGGTGCTACATCACGGTACAACGTTGGTCCACTGGGACAGCGAGGGTGGCACGACGAGAACCGCTTTGATATTCGCGCGAGTCGATCGCGCTTGCGGCACGTTCGTTTGGGAGAAACCAGCATGGAGCCCGCTAAAGACGGCTCAGATAGGCAGCGGCTCATCCGGAGACTTCTCGATCTCTAACCCAGAGGACACGGTGCCAACCGGCTTACTAGCAAGGTATACAACACAACAGTCGGATTGCGCGTCCGTGACACTGGAAGAGGGATTTTTAGATCTCAGTTCCGTCAAGGAAGTTATGATCGGGTGCTGCGATCGGGACAGAGAAACAGACCTCCGAAGCATTTGCAAGAGGTACGGGCTACCGGGCTCCGACTCGTGTATCGGCCTCATGTACGGCTCAAGTCTGCCGGACAATCGACTGATGTTTCTGCTTTGCCCCCCTGCCCTCAGCAAGTGAGTAGAACAGTCAACCATTCGAATGACTCTCGAGTCGTTAACCCTCGAAAGGCGGACACTTTGCGAGGACTACATGGACATGTCCTGAAACATTCAAACTATTAGTTGTTAGAGTAGAATGTTGATTATTCGATTGAATGGGTGATTAATACGTTTTCGGAAGTTATATAGTTTGATAATGAGCAGTGTTGAATTGTTATTTATTACAGTAGAACCTCGATTATAGGATTTAATTAAGCTATTACCGTTTTATTAAGATTATATAGTAAAAAGACGTGAGCAATAACGTCTTGGATCATTCAAATTGTTAATTATTACACTAGAATTTTGATTATTCGATTTCATTGGGCGATTCATAGTTTTTTGAACTTATGTGGTGTATTGGATTATTCAAATTGTTATTTATTATTTAGTTTAATATGATCAACTGAGAACGTAAGTAGATAAGTAAATATTTAAATAGTGCCGTTCCAGGGTTAATGGGACTGTGAAACTTTATATATTTATAGGTTGTTGAGTCATTTAGAAGATTAAAGAAACGTGAGAATTTTTATAAAATTTGACACGTTTTTATTTTATTTTATATTTACTGAGATTGCTCAAATAAGAATAAAGTTCTAAACTTTGAACTTTTTACGAGCTTTTATATTTATTTAAAGTTCCGCAGTCATCATTATCGTTTGCTTGACGAGGCTTCTTACGCGATTCTATCTTATCTGAAAGAGTTTAAACTGCTCTTGGAAAGTAGACATAGGTACCCATGGTTCAAATGGGAAAGGCGTGATTGTACATAAAGAAAATAAATCTCAGACGTAAAATAAAGTTTTTTCATTTGAAACCTCGTTGTCGAGATAATCGAGCGTGAACATTTGGCCAGCACACGTGCTCTTGGCCAAATGCCTAAATACAGGCGATGCAATCGACCGGGCTTTATTCCATACGAGAAAATAAAAAATAAGTGTAAAATGATATTTGTTAATTGGAGACTTCGTTTTCTCAAAATCGTTGAACAGAGACTAATAGCAATTAAACAAATGTAAGCATGCTTGATAAATTTTCGAACAAAATAATCTGATTCCTTTACCATTCTTTTCTAACATCATTTCTTATTGTACAATTTTTTAACAGTATAAAGTATTCCAATAACGAGAAATCCATGAAATCTATGATTTCTGATTTTAGGGATTCTTAGTGGTACTCTAGAACCCGTCGTTTCTGAATATTCAACATTCCCTGTTGATATCAATTAGATCAGTTTCTGTGACCCGCATACTGCTGTCGATTTAATGCTTGGTGGATACGGATCCTCTACCAATTATTGATTCATGATTTGAATACCACGCAATAGGATTGATGCTATTCAACGATAGTTGTCGAAAATCGAGTTCGTAAGCCAGCTGACAGTATCTCTCCTCCGCGTTACTGGTTATCGTTCAATCAACGATTCAGCGGTATTAAGCGCTTGTCAATCGCGAAAAATTACCGATATCGGATGGATCTAATTACTGGCGGAATCAGGTTGCTGATACACCCGTGTAATTTGCACAGGCGATAGAATTTAATTACTGGCTCGCCGCTCGTTGGAAAAACTTGTCGTCGTTAATGCACGATACTTTGTGTCTGCGCGATAGAAAAAGAGAAGAGGATACTCTTTTTATCGCGAGAATCGATACCATTCGAATCTGTACATGAAAGTGGTCCAGCAAATGATGTCGTTATTGGCCGCGAGAAACAAACACTGCGCATAAAAATAAGTCCCGTTAATTAGGGGCGGGGGTAATTGGATATGTCAAGCCGAAGTTAAATATTGACACTGTGAATCATGGACGTCGCGCTAGAATTGCAACAATTAACATCCACATGCACGTGTTATGTGCAGTTAAAACATCTGCAATAAGGACGGTATAGTTTGACGTTACAATATACACTGCCGGCCGAAAGTTTGGTGCCGCTGCGGGATGGGAATCGAGAGATATTTGTTAACTCAACTCAAGCTTGAAAATACATTTCACGCGTAATGCACGTTTGTCCACGAATATGTACTATAATTTAAACATATTTTATTATTTCTTCGGTGTTTCGAAATTTTATTTTTAACGAAAGAAACTTATTGGAACGAATGATTGAGTTTTCATGTTTTGTAAATTAATCGAAGTGAAATGCATTTTTTAGATTAATAATTGAATATCATTGAGTGACAGAGTATGTACCAGGGAGTTGAAATCAAAATTAGTATCAGAGTAGCTAGATAATTTCGTTTACTGTGTTCGCGAGCTTTCAGATCCAGTTTCCTTAAAAACGGAGTTTATTTTTGTGAGATTATATTCTTTTCTTTTACTTATAGCCAAAAAATATATGTCTTATATTCACGAGATCGGTAATGACAGTTAAACTGAGAATTTTAATCTTCTGTTAAAGCGTTAAAGCGATGAGTCCTTGAAAGGAGCTGCAGCGCCAGCAATGTAGCTGCCATCGTGCAAAACTTATCGAAGAATATTTTGACATCGGCTTGACGATGATTAACAACCGGTCGTTTCAACATACAGTAGCTTTGACGCGCTAATATATTACGCTAAGTGTTTCACAACGAAATCAATCAATTTCGCCATCACGTGCGGAGTATCACTGCAAGCAAAATTGATGAAACTCATGATATTCAACGATGAATATATTACCTTATAAGTATCCCTGAACATATTAAATTGTTCATTAAATTGTTCAAAATATCTTTAGGAACACAATGCGCAGTCGGCATCTTTTATAGAACAGTTCTTTTATTGCTGTTCTATCGAGAGATCCTCAAAGCGCTGCTTACCCAAGATTCCAGCGATCTTTCGTGTAGGCAGTTTTGATATATTATGCTCAGTTAGAATTCTTAACGAATGACGATGCACTTCTGGAAGGCGTCACACGGAATAATTAAGAGTCACTTGTTGATTCAGTGACAATCTACATTCGTAATGGTCGTGCCTCCTCGAGCTTTCGATGATGAAAATTATACGAAGATTGTTATCGCGCGGACGAATATCATCTCACCGATGCCATTTGCTTCAGAATTTGGTACATGGGTCTCTGCTGGATTTTACGAGGCCTGAAACGACAGCAGCAATTAACGGACCGTAGATCCCGATGGTTAAAAGAGAAGTATCTCCAACTTTATTTCGAGGAAGGCTGCCTGGAGCCGATGACCGCGGACGCCATTAGAGCTTTCGGCGGCCGTGATTGGTCTGCAACCGAAACGATCGGTACACTTTCGCCAACGAGTAGCACACTGCGGAAACGAAAAACAAAGAAAACGAAATCCATTAGCAATATTCATGCGTTAACAAAGGTTTGTAAATTATATCTTTGTCGATATTAATTCTCATATATGAAAAGGAAAATATTCATTCAATATTTACATGTGCAATTAATATCTTCCTTTGAGAAATTTTATATCCTATCTCTTTCGTTGCATTCTAATTTACTTCATTTTAAATAATATTTAAATTTATGTATTCACTTGATTCTTTATCTCTATTTGAACTGATTTTAATATTACCTTAGTGAGAATTAAAAATATAATTATCTTAATAAAAATTTATATGTTTTTAATGATAAGATTAGTCAGTTTGTTTCAACATTTAACCCATTTGCATCATGAGGGAGTATGAGAAAGAAGTCCTTTATTACTAAATTTAAACAAAATTTTGTTTAAGTAGAAAAATTATAGCAAGTAAAAAGAATTAGTGGCAATCAGAATTATTGTTTTTATTTCCGATAACACTCTTCATTTTTATTTTCTAGCTAACAGAAAATATAACGTGACACTCATTTCTCTTGTGATAATGACCAACAAAATGGAGCGTATATATACGATGTTAATGCAAATGGACTAACTTCTATTCCTTTTTTGTTGTTTGATATGTGTTGTTGGCTACTTAGCATTATGTTATACGCGACTCGTTGTTTAAAACAGGATTTGAGCCTAAAACAGTATGAGACCTCGTCCTCGGACAGTGGCTTATCAGCCACCCCACTTCGCCAGATTACGGGCAGCAGAGAAAGCCTGACGAGAATCATACCAGCATCCCCACGGTCTAGCAGAGATCGAATACTCCCGCGCAGTCCGCCTGGTTCATACCAACGAACTATAACTTCTAACTTACCTTACTCCGGCTTTCACAGGTAAATATCCCTGTTCCCCTTAAATAATTCTTATACCATGGATTTCCTACATCTATAATAACCGCAATTCTCAGTTCCATTTTACAATTTGTAATTCAATGAATTCGAAGAAGTACCAAAAGATCATTCACCGAACAACGAGAAACTATTAATAAATTCGTTAATAACAATACAAAATCTAAATATAAAGCCAATAAGCCATATCCAGTAACGCGATCTATTAATTTCTTGAAGACATTATCTGAAAGAAAATGATTAACATTACGCAGCAACCGTATTCAAATTTGAATCAATTCAATAAAATATAACTTTCGATTGCAATCAAATATAATGTATAATAAAGATACATAGAGAGGTTGAGTCATTCAACCTTGCCAGCCGAGTTCGCTTATAAACCATTTATCACATAGGAAAAAAATGCTTCAGACGAAAGCTATTTAATATCAATCATTTCAACCGTATTTTCGTCGACCCTCTGTTAATGCCAAACAACTGTTCCCTCGAACATTGTTTTACCTAAAAGATAAATATCGGTGGCACGATTAAACGACTCACCCTCTATATCAACGGTGAAATAATGAAACATCTAATAACAGCTGTTCGTAAACGGGAAAAACTAATGACACCCGTTTCATTTCCAAATGAATCCGCGTAGCCTGTTATGCGTCGACAGGGACAGGGATAAGAATGGGTCCGGCATGTCAGGTGGATTGGAGACACCTTTCCAAGTGAAAGCACGCACAAGTTCCATAATGAACGATACCCAGTTAAACTTCGTCGAATTCGTCGCACTGTTTCGCTCATTCAGCCTAAGAGCCCGAAAGGATTTGCGCGACCTATTTGGCCAATTGGCGATCACCTGTCGCAGCCAGAGCGACGGTTCTTTGGGCGACTTCAATATACGGCCGACCGTGCTACGACAGACCAGTGACGCAACGCCTCAACGAATCGGTTGGTTTCCATGTAATTCTCTAACCCCCACGCCGCGCTCGTGTTTTCGGCGACCTTTCTCCGTGTTAGCCCGCGTCGGGACACGTCCGAGTCCTTGACACCGGGTCCCGTATCTGGGACAAACGCTGCGTTTTGCATGCGGAGGTCAGCGAGAGATACGGATCCGTGTAAGCGATAAGTACACCGCGGATATTTATATTTTAACTTCGCTAAAAGTCATTCTAAAGAAGCTTTAATACAGTTTAATATCAAAGATTAAACTCATTGCGATAGGGTATCGCTCTAGTACAAAGATCAAAAGTATGATTCTTTTGTAATAGATTAATGTTTGAAATTGTGATGTGTATAAACGTAGGTCACTATAGAAAATGATTGTATAAAATGTTTCATTTGCGTTGTGAAGATTGGTTTATTTGAAATTTCGTTATTGAACCTGTGAATAAGTTCTTTCGAATAATCATTGTTACGAAAATAAACTCTTTGTATAACGGTTTTAGATTCGATCAAAAATTATGGAAATCAATTTCTTTCTGATATATTAATGGAGGGGTTATATTTGGAAACATAAATGTTTATAATTATTCATTTCATAAAGCAATCCTGTTCGATGAGATATTTGTCCCTTTTGCTTGCGAATGCGCATTAGAGTGCTCAAATTCGCTTTGTAGAATTATATAATAGGCAGTGTTGAACAACAATTTTTAAATACAATACCATTGAATTTAAGTGTAGAATTCTAGGAGATATAATTGTATTTTTCACATTAGTAAACAGGATAAAATAAATGCATAGTGAATAATAAACTCGTGAAATGCACGTGATAAAATCCAGCTAAAAGTAACTTGGATCGCAGTATTATTAAGAATAACAAAAGTGAAATGTTTCAATAGGTCTCCTGACGCGGAACAATTCTATCGACTGTCACGAATACAAAACCAGCCGCAATCTGCAGAAGAAACAAGTTTTCGATGCAGTGGCAGCCGCCAGTATTGTCAACAATTGTTCCGGCGTTGATACATCGAAATCACAGGTCATCACGTTGGCAACGTTCACGAAATTTTTGGAATCACGGCAACAGGAGAAGTTAACGGACGAGGAAGTCAAGGCGTTGGTTAAGGTATGAGAAATTTCGCTTCACTGAATTCCATGAGTGTAATTATTAAAATATAATTCATAGACTGAATATTTTTCGTAGTTTTGTTTATTTCTCGGTAGAAACACAGCCGATTGCGCGTGAAACGCTATAGTACAATTTGTTGTTTCTCGGAAACCGAATCGTGAGCAGAAAGCTGAAATGAATCAAAAGTTCTTACCTACGAAGCGCGAAACTCTTTGCACTCGAACTGCATCGCGAAGTACTTTAAGTGAAAAACTTTCATGAAAGGGTTTGGAAAATGTACCAATCAGTTTCTTTAAGATCGCGTCGTAAAACGATTTCCGGTACACCGGGCGAGAAATACAGCCTGCTAAGAGCACGCTTCAAACCTGTGCGCGGATTTCATAAGTGACCCAAGTGAATATTTTTCTTAAAATTCCTGCTCAATTGCTGTGATATAAAAAGCGTACGTTCGCCATTTCCCTCGATAAATCTTTTATCCGACTTCACGATAAATTTGAATAAAACATTTCATAACAAAATGAATTTTAAATAAACCCTACATCAAACAGTATCGACATTTATAATTTTAACTCTTTGCCTTACAATAACGTGTTAGACTCGTGGTGAAGATGTTGAACAGAATTTAAGAGACACAAATATTATTGAATTCTTGTGAGTTGAAATTAAATATTGTTCTTCTATTATCAATTATTATAGTTTAGAATAAACATAAACATGGAAAATGCCAAGAATTTTCGTCTCTTTTCAATAGATTAACAAACTAGGTGTATAGATCATAATTGAGAAACAAATCGTAGGAAAAAGGGTTAAATAAAATTTCTGCAAATATATAATTTAAAATTTTTATCTTTTCATTAGACAGCACTTTGTTCAGTCTGACGGTATCTGTTTCGATTAATTTAAATGCCACCTGTCTAAAGTGCTAAATGCAACATGTCCATTGGTGTACTTAGAAATTAGGGACGTTTACCAATGATGCGTCTTCGCTATTAAAACGGAGTTGTGCAACCGTATTTCAATACGCGCAGGAGACGATAGGGGATAGCACAATCAACCAGAACGATTTGCTCTGATTCCAGCGACACGAACCGGACCCAGCGCTGCGTACACAATGGAGTTTGTCTTTCGAGGGCTTTGCACGGTACATGATGGACAAGGACAATTATGCTTTCCCAAACGAGTACGCGACACCGTCCGAGATTGAAATGCAACAGCCATTGTCCCAGTATTACATCGCTAGCTCGCATAACACTTATCTGACCGGCCATCAACTTAAAGGGGAATCTTCGGTGCAACTTTATTCTCAAGTTAGTAAAATTTCTCGTACATCTATTCATGCATGCAATCCTAAATAGTTTTCTATCAAGCCAATGCTTGATTTTCTAGAAATGACTGATAAAGTCTAGAATAATTGTTTAAAAATTATAACAATGTATTCAATACCGAAGCAATCATCGTTTTCAATAAAACAGAATATTATAAATATTAAATTATAAAATTGAAATTTAATGGTTTATCATACAAGGCCAAACAAAATTGTTTACTGTATACTCTAAAATTTTAGTATAAAGATGTAGTTGATTAACATGTTGACCATCACGGTGGTCATCGATAATTGGAGCTTTCAAAATGCTGGAAAAAAATTCCAGGAAGGAAACTGATGTCAAGCAATTAAATAATAGTGGAACTCAAGAACTATGATACCAAATTATTAATAATCGATTCCAATAACATTTGCCTTCGTTTCGAAGGATCACGTAATATTATACTAACCGCTAAAAATTCTCGTGGCAATCAAGGTGTTAAATAAATAATGCCTTGCAACTCGGGTCAAAACGACCCATTCCTGATTTTTTTTGCAATTATTAAATAGATAACAGACTTCTCTGAGTAACTATTAAAGAAATTGATTTACCAATATGCAAATTGAATTATAAATCAATCGAAGTCCCGATAGATGCTCTCTTGAAGTTTCCATAGAGAAATTTCAAAAAGTCAATTTAACTGCTCGGTAGTTATAAAAAGATATTCACCGAGAAATCATAATTTTGGCAAAGACAATGAAAAGCGTATATTTTAATATCGTCCTACGATGAAGGAGGAGACGTAAAACTAGGTCCTTCCTGTGTATTTATTTATTATGCAAAGAACCGCTTGGCATGCGTTGAAGTAATTTCAGTCGTCCGTGCTTTCAGAAGTATGAACGGCGGAAAGTTTTCCCGTAATGCGGAAACTTCTACGGCAGTTTCCGTATGCGTCGTAGAATGCACCACGTGACAGTAAATTCGCTTCGCAGGTACTGCTGACGGGGTGTCGTTGTGTAGAACTCGATTGCTGGGACGGCGATGATGGGTCTCCAGTTATTTACCATGGGCACACCTTCACCACCAAGATACCATTTCGCTCGGTCGTAGAAGCAATTGACAGAAGTGCTTTTGTCAGTTCCCCATATCCTGTGATTCTCTCCATCGAGAATCATTGCTCCCAGAGTCAACAAGCTCGGATGGCCCAAATCTTTCAAGTACGTTATCGACAGCCAGTCCGCCCACAGATTCCGTAAATTGTGTCTTGCCCGGAAGATCGTTTTCTAGAGAAAGGATTTTCTTCCGCTTTGCCGGAAACATGAATATTCACATTTATGTTAACGTTGCATTTGTAACATAAAATCTTTTAATTTATCAATTTCACTCGTTTACGCGGAATTGTTACAAGGGCTGATGAATATAAATATTGAAATATTTCTTGTACAAATGCACTATTACTAGAAATTAAGAAAATTGCTTTTACTTTAATATTCATATATAGCTGTATCAGTTTCGTGAAATTTTCCATCCAGAAATCGAACATACTCTTGTAATTGCAAGCGATATTTGAAATTTCGTTTCTGACGGAAGAGTACAGTCGGATGAAATTGTATTGCTTTTTGTTTCAGTCGGTTTTCGGTGACAAGCTCGTAACAAAATTCCTGTTTGAGACGGATTTCAGCGATGATCCCCAGCTACCTTCGCCGTCGCAGTTGCGACACCGAATATTGATCAAAAACAAGAAACTGATAGTGGATCCTGCCGGTCCTCTGCCACACGCTCCCTTGGGTCACCGCGGAAAGATGCTGTCCGATCGTGCATCATCTATGAAGCAGATGCGTACTGACGTAAGCGCTGCTTCCGTCGTTGAATATTTCAGCGAGGACGATGACGACGAAGATGACGACGACGAGGATGACAATATCGACGGTAAAGCAATTTCATTTCAAACGTTCCTAAATGTATCCAAATTAATTTGCATTTCATACAATAAAGGAAAATTCTGAATATATTATATCTGTGAATAATTTATTGAAACAATTTGCATCCGCCTTTTTAATTTACGAATAAATGTTTAATTTCCTGTGTAATTACTTCTCAACATTTTCCCGTTTGACATAATAATTTGAATCTGAGTAATAATCTCAGATTAATACAATTCGAAGTGGAAAGTTTAATCGCGATCCGACACAATCCTGGGAAGCATTAAACTCGGGGTGCCTAATCTTTTTCAAGCCATGGATTAACCTAAATACTGGGAACATGAAATTGCTCATCATTTCTATTGCAGTTGTGTCAATTCTTCGATTGATTGCCGCGTAAATGTTTAAAATGTTCGAGACAATTACTCGCCGGTGATAGTGTGTTTAAACGAATTGATTCTGTTAAATTTTTAGTAAAGCTTAACAAATTCAATAACAATCTATATTACACACATATAAAGTGTAAACGTTCTTTTGTAATTCATAAATTACTTTCTTGCTGATTTACGAACATTTCTTTTTAAATTTAACTTTAGTCAGTCAAACTTTGTGACGAATTATTCTAATAATTCGTTCGTAGTGCTATATTATTAATTACTCTAATAATCCTTTCATATTACTCTAATATTAATTATTCTACAAATTCTTTGTTATTACTCTAATATTAATTATCTTAATAATCCTTTAGTATATTATAATCGATTGTTTAATGTATAACAAAGTTAATACGAAACTTTCGATTTCAGATAACTCGATCTCCAGTTACGAAAGATACTTGGGTGGAACGCAGGTATCTCATAGTAGATTAAAGTCAGATTCCGCGGTCGACGACAAGTCTCAGAAGCAAAGTAGCCAAATTGCTAAGGAACTTTCGGACTTGGTAATATACTTGCAAGCCATCAAATTCCGTGGATTAAACACGACGCCGGGAACCACAGCAATCGGAAAAGCGCGTCACCAACCACACACAGGACCCGTGCAGAGGCATAGTATCGCTGGCATAGGAACGACTAGCATACCTGGCACTTCTGGATCACCGCAGTCGCTGTCAACGTCGGCTTCACTTGCAAGCGGTAGCAGTAATATCGACAATCTCTTCAGGTTCGTTATATACACTGATAACTTCATTTGCAGATTTTATACATCTACCGCACAATTTTCTAAAAGGCAGTAATATAAACAGTTGAACAAATTTTAATGAGATTCTTACTTTACTTTAAACGTCGTAGAAGTATTCGTTATCAAGAAAATTTTATTTCTTATTAGTGTTAAAATAGTTACATAAATATTTATATTTGCATAAATTTTTCAAATCCACTAATAAAGAACGAAAACATGTTTTTATTAGAAATTATAAAAGCAATTTGATTACCTTTGTAATGGTTATAGAACATACTTAATCAACGCTTTTGAAATATTTATAATTTATAATTATTTATTTCAGAATCAACCGCGGAGTACCTGCCTGTTTCCAATGCTCCTCTTTGAACGAAAGCACAGCGAAGAAGATCTGCAGAAAACAACCTTTGGGCGTTCTCGCGCACTCGGAGACCCAGCTAATTCGAACATATCCAGCCGGAATGCGTATCGATTCCACAAATTTTAATCCTGTAATCTTCTGGGCGTTTGGGATCCAAATGGTGGCGCTAAATTACCAGACCGACGATGCTGGATTAAACCTGAACGCCGCTATGTTTGAGCAAACTGGACAATGCGGATACGTTAGAAAGCCTTCTGTGATGTGGGATAAGGGACACATGATGTACAGGTATTGAAGCACCCGCCAATTTTAATAAAACTACATTTAATCTGAAACAAATTTATATCAAACCATATCGACTCAATTTAAGTATCAACTACCATCGACTTTCTACAAACAATATTTTATCAATTTCCAGACGTTTCAATCCATGGGACAAGGAATTCGACGGACTGCACTCGGTGCACTTGACGCTGTCAATAGTTTCCGGCCAGTACGTTTCCCCAACAAATTTCGTTGCGAGCACGTACGTCGAGATCGAGTTGGTAGGCATACCAAGCGACTGCGCGAAACATAAAACGAAAGTGGTGCAGAACAACGCACTGAATCCAATCTGGAACGAACGGCTCTGCTTCCAAGTGATGTTCAAGGACCTGGCCTTCCTTCGTTTCGGCGTGGTAGAGGCGAATTCCCATCACTTGATCGCGCAGAAGGTGATACCGTTGAAATGCTTGAGACCCGGGTACAGACATGTGCGTCTGCGCTCCTGCAAGAACAAACCGTTAGCCCTGTCGACGCTGTTCATATATTCCCGCCTCGAAGAAGAGAGTCTAGACTACAACACCTGCTGCCGTGACCACAAGGAACCGTCGAAGCGTTCTTTGACAGGAAAGGAACCAGAGAAACTAACCACCGTGGATCCTGGTTTAGGCGGCGTAACATTGAAAAGGAGGATGTTCTTCTTGATGGTATACCACGTGGTACCTAACGAGCAGTACACCATTTTAAAAGTCACCCAAGAGAGCACCACCCAAGAGGTAATGCTCCAAGCGCTTCAGAAGGCTGGAATATCCGCGGACAGGGTTGACGAGTACATCCTCGTTGAGGAGGTGTCTCGTGGCTGGGAGAAGAAGGACAAGGAAGAGCTACCGACACAACGAGTACTAGACCCAACAGAGCGTCCTCTGCAAGCGCAGGCATCGTGGAAGGGGCAGGGACGCTTTTTGTTCAAGAGAGTGGGCGACGACCCAAGTACTAGAGCCTGGCTAGCTTCCATCAGAAGTACCGCGGGCCACTCGAAGTTGGACTCGGAAAGAGATACATCTACGCATATATGGGACGAAACCGACACCTTCTTGGTCTGCATCTACAACGTGTCACCAGACATACCGTACGCGATTCTGCGTGTCCGAGTGAGCAGTTCAGCTCAAGATGTCCTAGCGCAAGCACTAGTCAAAGCAAGACGAATGGAGGATCCTACAAAATTTGCTTTAGTAGAGGAGCTGGAGTGGGGTGGAACTGGTGCTGTCGGTAGCGGTAACCGTCAGTTGAGGGTCCTGCGCGATGACGAGAACGTGTACAGCACGCAAGCCTCCTGGAAGACACTTGGAAGATTCATTTTGAGGGAGCGGGAGCAAGCGATACCCAGGCGACATCTGCTACCGGCTACCTTGGACAGGCTCAGCAAGGGTTTCTCTGTGGGAAGATCGGTCTCCTTGCCGGGTTCCAGCAAGGAGAAGGCGCCTGTTGCGGAAGCCTTATCCGATCCCACCTCCAGGGGACCTAGACACCGTTTGCTGACCCCTGGCCGCAGGAGGGAGGTCCATTCCGACGGCGAGGATACCCGCGAGTCCGACATTGTGAACGCTGCGCTTCACTTGAAGAAACTGTCGATTAGGAAATTGCGAGTTTGGAAGTCATAGTGGCAGTCCCGGGCGACGTCGATTTCATCGATCTTCGCCACTCGGAGAAATGAGTCGTAAGTTGTACCGTTAGATCGTTGCATTTCAGGCGAGCCGGTTGAGTTTCGGCTTGACCAGGCTCGCCAACGGCGATACGTACTCGATGAATCTCGGTGCTCGCTCTCGCAGCGGTGACCGAACAGCATTGAAACGCTGTCACGCAGTTCTAAAGCAGACGCCTAATTGTACCTCACGACGATACTTGAACACGCACGATCTGAATCCTCGAATTATTGCTCGGAGACGGACCGGTTTAGACGAATTTTATGATCGGTGTGGACGGAGTTTGATTGGACGTGGTGTAACGTCGCTCGTATGCGACGGTTCGATTTTATTTGAGTGGCACGAAATCAGCCGAGTTACGTTCGAGCAATCCTGTCGATTGAAATGAAATTTTTTGACGTTTCATTTGTGTACCACTTGGTCAACACGGTTCGTTGAATTGGAAAATTGACCCTGATACGGATTGCTTTTTGGGTTCTTTACGGTCTTGTGGCTTTGCTTTAACTGGTGTACCGTTAGACAAATCGTGTGACAGCCAGGAAGAAACATTTTGTGCCAAATTGTCAGGATTCATTTCATTCAGTTAATTTCATTTCGTGGAGAACTTCAGAGAAATTTAGTGCAGAAAAGTTAATTTTGATAATTTCATTAAGTGGAAACTGATTCCTTGAATTTTTTTCTGAAGAAAAGATACTTATACTTTAAGTATTTAAATTTTCTTACTCGTCGTATCTGTATTACAAAAATTCAAAGAGTTCAGTAAACTGTTTTAATTATGATCGTAGCAGGGTCAAGTTAACGCGCAATGGTGTCTGCAAGTACACATAATTTCGATTGGTTTGTCGCACGCGATGAGCGAGTTTTGCAGCAGCAAGTGTAAGCATCATTAATTTTGAAACCGGAAAACTTTTCTAGTCACTGAAACAGCGTGTGAACACGCGAATTATGATCTTCATGGAAACGTAGTTCCTCCGAGGACACGCAGAGCTACCGAATTCGGCGCTTCCCAAGCATTTTCCAAAGAATACTCAGAAATATTTTTTAATCGCAACATTCTGTTCAACCGATTAGTTTATTGGGTTTCTAGATCGACATAATCCTGTTTTCCATATTTTTGTATACGCGTGTACATATTTTTAATCTAAACTATATATTTTAATATGTGTATATATTTACATTTAACGGATACATTGTATTTAAAACAAGGAAGAAAGAAGAGTAACAGAAATTCTATAACGCCGTGACATCGCAGATAGGCTTCGTTCGATTCATCACGATTTTGGAAACTGTCACTAGAAAGAGAAATGAATCGGTTCATTTCAGAGATGAAGCCATTGTATCGATTTCCAAATATCAATGTAACTTACACCGGGACCTGATTCTTTTTTATAAGCATTTACTTACCCCCCTCCCCCTCAAGTCATTAACGCTTGCACTTTGAGTACCTGACTCATCCGTGAACGTTCTCTTTTATTCACTTAATATTCTATAGTGTTTTTACATGTGCAACGTCATCGTGCAGTCTACCGTCGATTATACAAGAGAATTTTCATGTATCCCCAAAAGATTAAATGACACTGCAGAAAAGAAGAAAATCGAAAATTACAAATTTACGTAATTCAGAATCAAAGTTGCAAAATACATTTGTACCCTTTCTGGGAGGTTACGAGTGAAAATACATTTTCAGAAGTTGTATATATTTTACGTGCAAAGTGCGAAAACAAATTACCAACGCTTTAAACGTTTTGTAACATATTGAACAAAATATCAGTTCTTCATTCTTTTTTACCTATCTTTCCACGATTTTTCATATCTGTTCGAATTGCTATATTAACTCTCGCTATACTTCGCAGACAATAACAATTGCCCTTTATATTTTAATCTACCTCATTGTTTTTTACTCGCTACAAAAGTACAGATATACAATATTTCCATTTAAAGAATATTTTCTTCGAAATAAAACAGGCTGCACGATCTTCCGTTCATTTCTACGAAAACTATCGCGAAAAAAGAAAAAGGAAGAATGACACAGATCAATAAAGTTTCAATACATCACGAATGACGGAGTATACCACTTCTTCCACGAATTTCTTTCTTTTGCTATAATGATTTATCGTGAAGTATCAGTTCGATACTCGATTATATAATTCGATCAACATCCCCCTTTCGGCGTAGAGCGAAAGATAACCATAGGAATATCGCGTAGAATAACGAAGCAGAAAACGATTCAGTGATCGTTCACGCTCGAATGACAAATGAAGACGTCTAGTCAAGCTCTATCATCGATGTATCTGTTAGAGATACGCTCGAATCGAGGTGTACTCAAAATGATTTTATAGGTGCGACGCTTCTAAACACGACTCGTCCGCGATTAAACGACTGCATTCTAACAAAAAAACGAAAAAAGAACGGAACAGAAAAAAGAAAAATGATTCACCGTAGGACAAAGTTCTCGAGATTGTAACGAGACAAATTGACGTTACTTATTGCTGCGAGTCTTTGTTAAAAAATGAGAAAGAAAGGAAGAGAACAAAAAATAACGCAGTAACGAAAACAAAAAAAATACAGTATTATTTCTATGCCGCCGACAAATTGCGTTATTTTCGGTCGGCGTAACGATCATGCTAGTCAAGGAATCGCTCTCGGTCGCGAAAGTAAGCCACGGTGGTTGCAATCAGAGTTTACTGGCGGATCGCGATCATTTAACCGCTCAAGATCGTCAAGGAGCAACCATCGCCATTATTCGTCGTTTGAATAGCCCGCCGATTCTACTATTCTAATTGTAAGTAGAATAAATTATGCCTGGTAAGTGGTTCAGAGTAGTTCTTGAGCGGTTATTTGTATTTTCATCCTATCTTTCACTGCGCATCGTCTTCGTCAATAGCTCGGAGACCACGTATAAAATTGTCGATCCCCAGCTAATGGCCAATAGCATAGAGAATTAAATCGCTAGTCGACAAACATTCTATCATCACGGAGATCTGTTTTATTATTTAATTGTTACGAGAATGCAGTGCGGGCAATATTTGTAAATATATATTACATTGTCTTCTCTGTTGCTATATGTAACCAAATACAGTGTTCTCCCCATAACTACGAGCTCCGGCGACCCCGTTAGCGTCTCGTTTCTATCATCACCGTCTCTCGTTGCGTTGCTCAGTAAATGGCAGGTCTTCGTGAAAGGGGAACGGCGACGAACGTCAGCCAACGAGGACGAAGACAGAACAGCCTCCACCACTCCCGAGCGTCTAACCGAACCTCCCGAGTTTCGCGATGTTATGGGGAGAATACTGTATACGATTAATGAGAATTCTTATCACGCGTGGAGTCTTGCTACTTACGAGGGAACGTTCGACGCTTGTACCACCGATTCTTACGGAATATTATCCCCACCTCGTATTTTTACGAATGCCAGTACAATCATGTACTGGACGTGTTAAGTGCATTGTTCAATATTTTACGAAGGAATCTTTAACGTTGCTAGAAAATATTTTTATTTTTGTTGATACCTCTTATTGTTAGTTTTCTTAGTTTTATAGTGGAGACATGTTAGTTCTTTCGCGATGAAAGTATATGCCACAGCAGATCTCAGTGTTAATAGAAAAATAATATATTACAAAAACACTTAATTGGAATAAATGGCACTGATGTCTAGGCAATTCAAAATTAACAGTATGATTTTATTCGTAACGCTTAATCTTCAGAACATTAAAATTCATAACACTACTGAATGAATCAACAATTAATTATCAGTAACGTCTTGAAAAATTAAGTTCAGTAATTACCCTCTAACATCTGAGGATATTTAACTACGCATAGAATAAACAACAAAAAAGCTTTCGAGTCTTTTAAGCGTCAACAAGAACAAAGTAAACTCATACGTCCAAAGGAAACACTGCGCAAGTAGTGAATTCAATTTCTATCAAAAAATTATTGAGCAGTGTACTATAGACATTTCTCGCAATTGTTATTCGTAATATTAAACACGAAAATTGGCGGGCCGCGTCGGCGGCTCAAGCGTCCCGCGCTCCCTCCGTTGCAAATCATATTTATTATATATTGTTGATACTGAAATGAAGATGAAAAAAGAAATAGTAGATCCATGTTCCTTTTACAATCGTTGCCCCCTTACCCACCCTCGCCCCCCTTCAAAACTGTTAAGGCGCAAATACTTTATTGTAAACGCGAGACCAAGGAGCGTCGGCCGTTCTTCATTTTCCGAGCATCATTCCAATTGCTTCAGAGACGCCATTATTATACACTGTAACGTCGCTCGGTTTCGGCGCACCGACCGAGACCGCCAAGCCTAACTTTTCTCACTGTATAATTCTATGTATAGACGCAAATATTAGCGGGGAATATTAAATACGAAGTCTTTCTACCGTGGGCCGAAGACGCCGCGAACACGACGCTTTGCCCTTCGTCTTCCATTCACTAGCATATTCTAACGTATTTTATACTTTCGATGAGCCACGACTGACAATTTCCGAGGTACTCGTACACGCGATCTTCCCTCTAACTGCGCGTCTGACACGCTCGAATCCTAGGAACGACGGGAACCGATCTATCACTGCTTCGTCCAGCACCAGGCCAACTTTCCACGGGGATCGATTTCGCTTGATTGATGTGCTTGATGACAGATTTCGCCGCTAAGACTTAATTGTTCCAATGGAAACGCGCTAGACAGAAGGTAATAACAAACGAGACAACTGAATATCTTAAAATAGCGCGTTACGACTGTTGTTCCAAGGATTCCGGCGATCGCTGCGGCGTGAACGGAGAACACGCACACACATATACAAACACACAGACACAATTTCTTTGGTGAACTTCGCGGCGCCTCCGTGCACCCTAATATATTTTTGGACACCACTTCCTTAGTATAACTATCTCCCATTACTTCGAGTATACACGATAAGTATAATGACTTTCAATGACATATCTCGGGGCAGATCGCAAATCCGAACGGATCAGATGAAAGTAAGCAAAAGCTGCTGACCTGTTACGTTTCTACGAACAAGATGTGCTCGAAAGCGGCGTTCAAATGATTTTGTAGAATCTCGGATCCTTGGTATCCGGTTGATCTGATTTCCGACGGTTTTGTTCGACTTCACTTTAAACATATTGTTTCCGCGAGCGCGATGGAACGCGAAACCGACTTTCCGAGTGCATCTTCCGTCATATCCGTGGGTGGTACAGATATCATTCTAGATTTATACACGAAATGTAACGGATACTGTTCTCGCGTCGAGGAGGAATGGAAATCAGGTTCAGCGACAAATAAATCGTTTCTTTCATCCGGAAGTGTGGAGTTGCAGGAGTTTCTCAAAGTTATTCGAAACACCTTTGCATAGATATTGTTATATAGACACGCGTATGCGCAGGTAACGAAGTTTCGAAGCGTATCAATACATGTACAACAAACACACGTATACTTGTAACATTTATACACGAGGTTTCTGTGTTTTTAATCATTTTTCGTCCGTTGTTTCGCTATATTTCTATTCGTTTGGGTACTGACACCTTATCAGATGGACGTGATAAGAGTGACATTTCATAGTAAATCGCTGCAGAGGAACGGAAGTCGTGTACATAGACGAACAATGGCTACTAATAACGCTAACCGATCGTTACAATTAATTTCGATGCTCCTTGGGTCTCGAGACTAAACCCCCGCATCGAGAGTATCATCGACTACAACGGACGTCTCTCGATTCTTAGAACGGAAATGTACACGGGACAAGCAGCTCGCGAACGCGGACTGCTATTTGTTAAGAAAATCTTCGGAAGCATTCGCGTCGCTACGCGGACACGGGGCAAAACGATTAAAACCAGCGGCCGTGTCGGTGAACAATTACGAGCCTCGACGTTTCTCGCGCAAACCGCTGGGAGAATGTTCTCACTTAGCACGATTTTAGCCCGACGTCGAGTACGATTCTCGAAAACCCTTTCTCTTCACCTTTCTTCACTTTCGAGTTTCATTTACGTCAACTGTAACGGCGCTTATGCTTGAAAAGAAATCCTTCTTCGCGACGGACTCTCCGAAAGAAAAGTTTGTTGAACATATTTATAAGACGAAACCAACGTCGTGCTCCATCAAAAAAAAAAGAATGAAAGAAAGAGAAACAACTATATGTACTTCTTAAAACTTTTGGGACCATTCTCATTAAGCACACTTTCGAGCGAGCTCTCCGGAGCCACTTCAACGCGAACGATCCAGTATTAAGTTTTTCTTCGTCGATAAAACGGAAAAAAACACAAAAAAAACGGGAAAACGTTGGAACCAAAAAAGGGAAACCGTAGTGATCGAGAGAGAAAAAAAAGGAAACACGAGCGAACCGCTTGTAAAATTTACTCGATGAGACGTGAAAAGATGCGATCGAGTTCCGCGAGACTAATTATCGCTGTTCGTACAAGGAATTTTAGATGCTTTCTAATTACGTGCCGTTCGCCCGAAATTTCATTGCGCCATGAATTGTATCGTGCTATAGGAAAAACTTTCACGCGAGATACAGGGTGTTTAATAAATCTAGTGACGTCAGTATTCACGTCTGACGATTCTCAATTCGCATCCGCTTGATACTGTGCAAATGAAAGAAGTAACAATGCTAATCCATTGAATTGTGTTTCCTTACGAAACGACACACGAGAGCTCGTGCGGTATTGGATCAACGTAATCGATTTAACCTTTTCGATCGGATCGGACCTTTGTTTTTCATCAGGAAACACGTACGAACCGCGTTCCAACGCGCTTGAAAGAATCTAATTATTTAATTATATACTCTGTACTGATCGGGCATATCCACATTGTACATATCCGTGGTTCTTCGATAGCTGTTACATTAAATATGTGCGCGTAATATCTAAACGAATAAATAAGTGGATAAATTATTTGCATTCGTGCGTATATGTGTCCTAGTGCGCGGGAATATGCCCACGTATGGCTACCGAGCGTTAGAGGCGTCGTGTGGGAGTGGTTAAGTGTCAGTAACGACATCGACAGTCGAAGTGTTCATTTAATATTCACAATTATTCAGTTGTATTTCTGTGTACTGTGGATTCTTCTAAATATACTACGGATTTATGCAAATATTTATTTTCCACAGGCTAGTTTGCAAAAACTAGGATCGAAGCGAGATGCCCTTTTCTAAATAAAGAAAACAAGTAAAACCCCCATCGAAATGTCTTAAATATTTCACAGTTGACAATACTGAGTTCTAGGACAGATATTGGATTTTAGGTTCTGCAGCTCGAAGGAATTCAGAATACCGTTATAATCAGTACAATTGTTTTATAACATTAGTTAACTAATGAGATAAGTTAAATTATATTTAATGAGATCATTAATTATGAGACTCATTGTGGTGCGACCTGTCTAAACGCAAAGGGTAGGGCTGCGATTACAAGTCGGACGCGAAATGATTAGTTGATAGGCCCAAACCCTTTTTCCTCATCTTTTCACCCGAGTTGCGCAGTTAGAACGACCTCTAATTCTCGGTAGACCTATACAATGTGTATCATGCAAACCTAGAACGTTGGCTAGTGGAACAGCTCCTGTGTAATTGGTTTGATTCTTGACATCTCCGAAATCTTCGTCACGCAGTACTCCAATCACCTCTAAAAGTAAGTTTCTTTCTTTCTCCATTTATTTATTTACTGTACATTAAAATACATTATAAGAGTAACAAAAAAATAATTAAACATTGTCGTGTGTAAAGGCAAAAATTCGAAATTGTTTATAATAATAGACAGCAATATATTAAAAATCATTTTCATTGAAATTTTATTTAATACACCAAGTTAATACGTCTGTTTTAATAATAAGTGTGTCATTTATTTATAACGTACATCACGAAAGTGTTGCCTGCAGTAAGGAGATTATACCGAAACCAATCAGACCAGCATTCCTACCGCTAGCTAGCATTCCAGTTGTGCACAGTACATGTGTATCGATGCATGTATAGGCTTAAATGTGCCGAATGATTCGAGAACAGTCGATCACACGAGACACTCGTCCCTCGAGTTTCCGTTACAATAGTTGTTTAACAAACGACACGATTCATAATCATAATCACGTTTCAATGAATTTCCCAGGGTTACATAGAATCTTCGTTTTGAGAAACAGGACTCTTTGCGGAGAGAATCGACTTCTATATGAAGAAAACACGTTGATTTCACTTTATTTCATTAGTTGCGTTCGTTAAGAAAGAACTAATGTGACAAATAACACGAATTTCACGGTGGTAATTGTTGTCGAATCAAGCTGTACGGCTCTATAACGGTTATGAACTTATACGATGCACCCTTGCCACGGGGCGTGCAATTCGAAGCCAAAGAAAGACAAGAACGCTATTGATATAACAGGAAAAATTGATAAAACAGTTTAAAGAAACGTTTCTGCCACATGGCCAGGCTGGTCCGGCCACGGCTGTTAATCTGTCTAATAATATTTAATAAAATGTCTTTTTCATAAGTGTGAGTTTTACGATACGCATACATATATTCACGTATATGTATCACCTAACGTGTTTCATGAATATTCATGAATTATACATAATATACATATAATAAGAAATTTAATAAATTATGATTCGTTTCCACTGCATTCTCATCGACGGCTTTTCGACGCGTTGTCAGTAAGTTAGGTCGTCGTGATTGCATAGTCGATCGATCTGTTAAATCTTCAGCGAATAGTAGTAACGTAACCAGCTGGGAAAAGAAACAACGTTCACAATAGCGCCGCAAGTGGTCGGAGACGATTACTTTTTGATAGGAAATAATTTGAATTTAACTGAAAATCAGCATGTGACTTTTTTACAATGTGAACTTTCGTTCGTGAACAATTCTAATAGGCCGTAATCGATTTTTTCAAACACACGTTGTGATACGACACCGGGTTCGAATTATTTTGCTGTGCTGTTTCGTACACTTTATTGAAACGTATTTGTAGCCTCCATTTCTAAGATTCTAATGATAATTTTAATATATTCCCTAGAACATTTGTAATTATGCCAATAAATTATCCGTTATTCCATTAAAAACTCCTCCTGACTTTCAGTAATAAAACGTTTACTTTTCTTATGCTGCTTTAAATAGTGATGTCACACAGTTTCTTTCTGTATCATTTCACTTTTTATGCATTTTCCTATACACGTTGAAACCCTAAACTCTTTAAAGGATAGCTAGGGAATGAAGGAATAGTGTTTTTATCTTGTACTTTTCGTTCTTTATTGAAACTTTGATTATTGTATAAGTATATGTATAATTGTACACGTGAGCATTTTCTATATTGTGTATTTTGTATTATACAAATTTTGTGTCTTAATATACAAATTTCAATATTTTGAAAATAGACATTTCCTTTTTATTTCAGTTTCGCATCGTGCATTTCACTTTCCAAGTGTTTCAAACTACCGTATACAGTGCATTACTAACATGATCTCATCTGGTCAGTGGCTCAAAAGTGTAGAGAGGCGAGAGGATTCGGTCAGTAACAAAGACATGCCGAAACTAATTCCGCCATTACTATCGAGCCGAGCGCCGCGAGTAGACGTCTCCCCTTGCCCTTCTTCACTTTTGAGCCTTAGACCGACTGGAATCATGTCAGTAACACACTGTACTTGTATCGTTGTCTGGTTACGTCACCACTTAAATGCTCTAGCGTTCTTACATAAGTGATAATACTGTATCTGGAAAAAAGTATATTTAAAGCAATTATGTAGATACACAGTCTTACGAAACTGAGTCAATGTTTAAAATGAAAAGAATTTAAATTGTACTTAATTATTTTAATATGTTATTAATACTATCGGCAATGTTTTACAAAAGTAGATCTAAAACACATAATTCATTAAGTCTAATATTCGCTAAATTGGTAATCAATTCATTAAAAATATATTATCTTAATTCTGCAGAAAGAAAATTAATTATTTATATTAATATTTATTGCATTTTATTTGAATAAAGAGATAAATTGTGAGGACCAGCGAATTTATTCGTTCGATCTTAAAAATGTTGATATTCTAATTATGCAAAATGTGCAGACGGTGACATATCTAATCATCTTTAATTTGTTTTTCTATTATAGGAGAAACTTTAACCACGTTACTGTCATCTTTCATTTCCATGATTAAATTTCCCATTGTTCCGTTTTTTAATTCGCTTTCGGTTCTTTATCGATCAACTATGAAAACACTGAGTCAAGAACTCGCAAATACAGATAATTAAAAAGAGATATTGATTACACTAGTTAATACTAATGGCGAAGGTGTACGTTTAAAAATTTCATCGTAGAATATAAAGAAATGATTATTTAAAATGGGAAGGCAACAAAGACAAGTTCTAACATTGTATTAGTAGTTATTATAATATCCATCATGACGTAAAAGTCTGGTGAATTTCGATAGTATCGAGAAACACGAAGAGACGTAGAGGAAACAAACGTGTCAGTAATGGAACTTCGATTATTTTACGAACTACTACACACCAGAACATCGTAGCTCGAATTTCGTTGAATTTAAGTGACATATTTATGTAAATTAAAAAATAGCGAAACAAATGGAGGACATTATACGAGTAGCAAGTGTCATTACGTAGTATTCTCTTTGGCGTTATTGTGTATACTCCCAAATAGTCTACGTTCTCGTTTCGAAGAACAAACATGTATGTAATACTCATAACGAAAACAATCGCATGCAGCCATCTTGAAATTTATGTATAATTTATCACCACGATACTGTGTTAATATAACACCGGCATTGTTGAAGAAACGAAAATCTACATGTAAATAAAAGCATTTTTATAAATAACCTTCGTCATTTTTATTTATCGCTCCTGACCTCTATATTATATATCATTTCTACAGATACTTTTCCATTCATTATATTTCAATTATTAACCATTGTACCGTTCATAGAAATTGAATAAAGATATAAGTAAATTATGTACTTGGAGATTATTTTTTTTTGTTATTATAGTTATCATAATGTATTCAAATAAAACATATAAAATTTGGATTTTTAAAGAGAGTAAACACGCGATATGCGATGCCTGATACGAAGTACAATCTTATCACGGCTGAACGAAATATTCCTCTCGTTGAGTGTAGTGCATCACATTTGTCAATTGATTCTCGGTACCTTCACCTCGCATCCCACAATGCCGGTACGTAACTCATTACAATTACTTAAAAATTATATTCAATCAAAATTAATCAAACATTTTATTGTAACGAATTTTTAAATATTTTGGCATGTTAAAGGTATTTTTCATTTTATAATACAATAAAGACGAGTAATATAATAAAATTTCGTGAAAGAACAAATATTATTAACCTTAGCTTTATTTGATCAAATGTCCAATTTCCTATATTACTGTCAGTGTGTTTTTTATTTAATTTCATATAATGGAATTTAGATGAAGTTAGTTATAATAAACATTTTTTCATTGTAGAAAACACCGTTCACTTTCAGGGGACTTCTAGTTCCTGTATTAACACCCTTTAACAATGACAGGTAAAAATTTTAAGGAATATCAAGAAACTGTCGAAGTTTAATGAAAAATTTAATATTATTTATATTTTTTGCTCACTTTAGCCAGAGAACTCTGAATTTGGGAGTTATCCCACAATATGCTGATTATTTGTCTAAAAAGAAAATTACTGGCGTTCTCGGTAAGTAAAGATTCTAATATCACTTCGTTTCTTTGTTTTTTTTGTTTCTTGTTCAGTATGTTTACAAAAAATAAAGGTGATCTTTAGACCAAAATTTTTTACTATAAGTTTTCATGTCATTTATATATAACAGTAAATGGAACTACTGGAGAAGGTCCATCTATGTCAGTAGCTGAAAGAAAGTTAGTAACTGAAGCATGGGCAAACGCGGTAAAAACAACTAAGCAACATTTGATGGTCCAAATAGGGGGTGCATCTCTTCCAGATGTTCTAGAGCTCGTATGTATAAAATATTCTATAGCAATAATCACGTTCATACATATTCATTGACAAAATTTTACTATTTAAACATATATCTAATTTGACTAATTAGATTGTTAATTTAATTTTATTACATCCCGAACTTTCATCATTTTCTGAACAATTAAAATGCAAACAAAAATATATTTGTTTGAAGGCAAAACATGCGGAAAGTTTAAAAGTTGACTCCTTGTTATGTCTGCCTGAATTATATTTTAAACCAACAACAACAAATCAGTTGACCGAATATTTGAAATTAGTTAGCAAAGCAGCCCCAAACACACCGCTTCTGTATTACCATATTCCTATGTTCACGAACGTCAATGGTAAGTGAATATTTAATAACAGAATAATTTTCTAAAATTATAACAAATTTGTTGATTTAATGAAAAAAAAAAATATTTTTCAATGATAGATATATAATACAATATTATTATAATGCATTATGTATTAATAAAGCTGGATGATTTCTTTCAGTGCATATGGGAGAATTTTTAGAATCCCTTGGTGAACAAATTCCAACTTTCGTAGGAATAAAATTCACGAGCTCAAACTTGGACGAAGGTGCACGAGCGTTAAACGCTAATAACAAAAAATATGTCATTTTCCTTGGCAATGATGAGGTATTAATTATTTTTGCATAAAGTTACGAAAGAACATGTTAAAATAAAGTCAACTAATTATTTTGTTATTATAATTTTATTTTTTGCAGTTATTGCACGCCGGCTGTGCCATAGGAATGGATTCATTTATAGCAACAGGCATAAACGTATTTCCAGAGCTTACATTAGAGATTCTTGCGGAATGGAAGGCAGGAAATGTATTGAAAGCAAGAGAGAAGCAACAAGAATTTTCGAAAGCTGTAATTGCTATATCGAAATACGGTAATATATGAAAATAACATCTAAAGAATAAATTGTATCTCCATAATGTAAATTATACTCATCATTTTAATGTTAAATTATAGGTAGCTGGGTAGAAACTATGAAAACAGCAATGCCTTTATTAACAAAAGTGGATGTTGGACCTACACGAATTCTATGGAACAGTTTATCACCAGAAATGAAGAAATCAATGGTCAATGATTTGCAAAACTTAGGATATCAAATAAGAAAATAATATTCTAATTGTAATACTACCAAAAAGGATTTTTAAAAGATCATAAATTTTGTACATGATTGCTCAATTAATATGTCTTATCCAAATGTTATAAAAAATTTCAAATTTTATTAATTTTTCAATTATTATATTATTTACTGATTTTTTCAGTGATTAATATCCTTGTAAAGAATTTTAATAAATAATTTGTTTTTCGCAGAAGTTAGTTTTAATTGTCAATTAATCAGATTCACAATATTTCTTATGTATTTTATAATCAAATTAGCCTTCAACAATAACCTAACTCAAATGAAATAAGTTTTTAGAGTTTTTCCAATTTAGAGTAGAAATTGATTGTCAGTATCACTTGTGTAAAACTATTTTTCATATTTTTCTAACAAACACTCGGGTTACTAATAGTTGTAAACAATTAATCAGTTTATAATTAACAATGTAATGATTTAATCGTTGTTATTATGTAATATTATTTCAGATGATTTAAGTATATACAACTTTTATAACAAAAATATCATTTTCGAGTTAAATATTAAATAAAACTTATAAAACAATAAGATGATATACATAAATTAAATATAAGATTTTATAGTTATACTGAATAATATATTATTAATAAAAATTTTTTAATTAATTAATTCCCTTCTGTTGTTTATTGTACTTGTACTCATCTGTATAACATTGCATGCGTACAGTACTGTTGGTGATGCACCAGTCACAAATATGGCAGCCATGAGTGTAGAATGTGGCGATTTTTTACAATTTCAGGTATGTCTATTATAAATGAAAATGCTGTAAATAATACCAAGTTTAATATTCACAAGTTTTAAATATGTTAGTAAAATTAATAATTTCAAGTTATATTTTGTTTGTTCATATCATAATATATCCTTAATTTAATTAAGGTTATACCACAATTTATATAATATTTTATACATTGACAAATGCTACGATAAGAATTGTTTTGGCAAATGAATATAAGGAAGAATAAAATTTAATATTTAAGTTAAACTGATCACATTCTGAACTAATTTTTATATGTCCGATAAGGTTAGTTTACCACATGTGCGTATAGTATAATGATCTGATATTGTATTGTTTTTACTGAATATAGATACATACAACATTTAAAAGATTATAAAGAAAAATTATTAAAACTCTGAAATAATTATATTTTTAGTTTTATATTAAACTGGATAATCTTGTATAAGTTAAAATATTTTTTTGTTTTTTTTAATTATTTACAATACGAGTTTATTTCGTTTCAGGATACATTGCGGAAAATGCGACAAGTGGATGATAATATTATTCACATGTTAAATACAACAATTCCAACTGAGTCTTTTAAAGCTGAAATAGACTCTACAGCAAAATGTAAGGATTTATTTGAACAAATTGAGACAAATCATAACAAAAGAGAACAGGCTATTACAAAATGCTTAAGCTCTTCAAGAGAAAAAGTAATTCAGTTAAAGAAGGAACGGGACAACAACAATGACAATATTCAACTTCTTAAAACTTTGAAAAAAGAACAAAATACTATGCGCTTATTGCAATCTGAACTAAATATAGAGGAAATTGTAAGAAAACGGACACTTCAAATATTTTATGAAAGATGCCGTAACTTTTATAAACCATCGAGTTTAAAACTGTAATATTATAATACTACTGAATATCTAATTAATTTACATAGTTGTATTATATTTTTATGGTTATAATTTTAACTGCGCTTAAAGATGTGTAGTTTATTATAACCTAATAGAAATCATAATCAAATGTAATTAGACACAACCACAAATATAATTAGCTACAGCATTTATTACATAATATTTACATGTATTTTTTATTAGAAAAGATTGTTATCAAAACCATTTTTAACCATTTACCTGTGGACTGAGGGAATCTTCTTTTTTTATTAAAGATTTATATCTTAGTAATAGAAATAGTACAAATATTTGAATATCTGCAAATAATTTATTAAATAAGTTTAAATAATGTACATTTACTTTGAAATATATTCTATAATTTTAGATTTTTCTACAATGTACATTTCATACATGTTTGTGTATATGAAGAGTTATAATAACTAGCTTGTTCAAAATATATAATACAAAAATTTTAGATTTTTCTACAATGTACATTTCATATATGTTTGTGTATATTAAGAGTTATAATAACTAGCTTTTTCAAAATACATAATACAAAATATTATTGCTTTCAAAGGAATACTGTGAAGTTTAGAAAAGTATTTTAATGTTAGCAAAGTAATTTTTAAATTAGTATACTATTATTAATTATTATTAATTATTCCATCATGAGTTTACAGCAGCTTTAGCTGCTGCTTCAGCTTCAGCTTTCCGTTTAGCTTCAGCTTCAGCTTTTCCCTTTTCTTTTATTTCTGCATACCATTTTGCCCTGTCACCTATTACATGTCTACCACCTGCTGCTTCTGTTTTTCCTTGATAAGCAGCTATTAAAAATCCTATGACTACAATCAGAATCATGTAATTACATACACGAATTCTTGCTCTTACACTTGATTGATACATAGTGTTCCAACTAATTAATAGAAAATATAAATAGTATTTAACATTGTTTTTGTTAATTTATAGATAAAATAATATTATAAAAATATAAAATATACTCACGGAACTGCTTGAGGAACCTTATCCATGCTAGGATAAACTTTCATCCATACTAATATTCGTTTATCGAAGTTAGTTGGAACATGCAATCCTGATCCTAAATATAAAGTAACATTAGCTTTTTACAGACTAAGTAAATTATATTTTACCTAAGACATTTTGATGGCGGTTTTCATTCTTTGGTTTTTCCTCAGTAGTTGGTAGTTTATCTTTCCTCACTAAAGTAGTACTTAGTTGCCTAGTTGTTGGCAACTTGAATTTTTTTACAAATCTCATATAAAGCATTCTATAAAAATTAAAAAATTTATTATAGGAAAGTACTTTTTTATATACTTCATTCACTGACTTAAATAATTTCAATGACTTCAAATAGATTAATGTTACTTACATGTCCTAACAAATAAGTACTTAGTCAAACTATTAAGAGTATTCATCCCATATACAAAAATTTTCCCTATATGATTATTATACACTGAAATAACTTTATTTTAAATAGAAATGTTATAATTCCTGATCAACGGATTTAAGCATTTATTATTTAAAATTCTTATAGTTTGATAATATTTAAATTCTTAATAATAATTACAATCTTACAAACGTGCATAATTTACTTTAAACAATTGTGTTATATTTAACAATTTTATGTTGTTTGTCACATTCTTGATAGGTTATGTATCTACAAATAAAATGCATTTATAACAGAGTATTCAAGAAAAACTATGTTTCGTTAGGTTGTACGTATTGACCTTGACCGAACAATTTTTGAAACAACCTTTCAATTAATAAAAGTCTTTTAATTTTTTCTGTACTATACATAGCAAACTTCATATACTTATGCAGACAAATCAAACATTAGAGCACATTATGCTGTAGATAATTACTCACTTCGGACAATTATTGGTAATTACAACTCTTCGTCTTTCTTTGATCCTCTATTTCAGCAGTCTACTGAATCCATGACAGCACGATCTCATTCTTATGTATAATATATATACATGTGTGTAAGTATGTTTTCCTAAATGAACGTTAGTTACCAAAATCGTATATGTATTTTTATAAGATGTAGTATCTTTTTTTTAATTCAAGTTTTAAACTTACTAAAAAGTAAACAAAAATTATTTGAAAGGTCATTTTAATTCATTTGATGATTATATAGATAAAAAATGTGTAAAAATATAAAAATAAGAATGATCATGCGTAAAAGATACTGTTCAACGATTTTACTTTTCTGCATAGTGAAAAATGTAGATATACCGTTTGAAAATAATGTTATTGAATTGTAAAATCTGATGTCTAATATTCATTTAAAAATGATTATATATTGTGTATCTTTTTTTTTACTTTAAAAAATTAGGATCGATTAATAAATTTCTATATTGTGCAATAAAGACTAAGAATATTATTTTGTAATTTATATATTTGAATTAACAATTTCAAACATTCAGAAAAATAGTTCCATTTTATAAAGTATTTCTTAGAAAATGTGTATATTTCTATGTAAGACTAATTGTTTTAAACAATCAATTTTAAAATAAAAATGAAATAGTATAAGTACAGATGTAGTATATCAGTTTCAAGTTTCAGATACAAACCGTGTGGTAGTGCTTAAGTGAAAAGACTACATAACTCTCGAGAGAGGGCAGAGCAAAACCTCTGATTTTTTATACACTCGGTAATTCAGAACGTCATACCAAGTCTGATACACTTGCAATATTTATCCTTATACCTCGTTAGTGATTATATGATTAAATAAATGCTGATTACATTATAGTTATTACTTTTTTAACAAAATGAAAGTAAAAATTTTATCAAGAAATCCAGATCATTATCTACGAGAAACAAAACGTGATATTCACAAAGGTTAGTAACGTTTAAAGGTTAATATAATGTACGTAAATTAAAATACAGGATCATGTTTAACAATATATGAATATATGTTTAGTCCCTAGGAATTATGATCCATCATTACATCCTTTTGAAGCAGCTAGAGAATATACTAGGGCATTAAATGCAGTAAAATTAGAAAGAGTATTTGCAAAGCCTTTTGTAGCAAATTTAGATGGTCATAAAGATGGAGTGTCTATCCTTTGCAAACATCCTACACAATTATCTACACTTGTCAGTGGTGCTTTTGATGGTGAATTAAAAGTATGGAATCTTATGCAAAGAACTTGTGAACGTACATTTTTGGCACATGATGATATAATACGTGGCATTGTGTATAGCACGAATGCAGATCATCTTATTACTGTTGGTAATGATAAAACTATTAAACTATGGAAAGCAGAAAAACCATCCTTTGGCAAAGAGGAGGAACCTGTAAACACAATTATTAGCAAAGTAAGATGAATGAAAAAAAATTGTAGTATTATGAATGCAAAACTTAAAATTATAAATATTTTTTAGACTATAATTACTGGAATTTCTCATCATCGAGCACAACCTATATTTGCAACATGTGGTGAAGTATGTCATCTTTGGGAAGAAACCAGAAATGAACCAATTAAAACATTTAAGTGGGGTGTTGATAGTTTATATGATATTAAATACAATCCAGTTCAGTCGAATTTGTTTGGTAAAATTATAAGAAACTCTTTTGAACACACAAAAATATTGTAACATGAAATTATAAATATTTAAATCTATTTTATAGCTGCCTGTGCAAGTGATCGTAGCATCATATTGTATGATGCTAGAGAAACAGGCCCTCTACGGAAAGTATATATGAGGTTAAAAACCAATAAATTGTGTTGGAATCCTATGGAAGCTGTAACTTTTACATGTGCCAATGAAGATTATAAGTATGTTTGTAAAAATCATATTATATTATTAGAAATATCAAAATATGTAGTAGTAATTATTCTATTTCAGTTTGTACACTTTTGATATTCGCAATCTAAAATCACCAGCAAATGTGCATATGGATCATGTAGATGCTGTAATTGATGTAGATTATGCACCAACTGGAAAAGAGTTTGTGACTGGTAGTTATGATAAATCTATTCGTATTTTTGAATCTAATAAGGGTCATTCTCGAGAAATATATCATACAAAACGTATGCAAAGAGTAACATGTATAGCATGGTCTCTGGATAATAAATATGTTCTCAGTGGCAGTGACGAAATGAATATTAGAATTTGGAAATCTAAGGCATCAGAAAAATTGGGTGTGGTATGTAGTTCAAACAATTACCTTCTATATTTCACTTTTTTGTCTCTTTTCGTACTAATTTTATTAACAACATGTCTTATTTCAGTTGAAACCTAGAGAAAAAGTAAGTCTCAATTACAGTGAAGCATTAAAAGAAAAGTTTGGTGCGCACCCTCAGGTTAAGCGAATTGCTCGGCATAGACAAGTTCCGAAACACATTTACAAGGCTAAAGCCGAGCTACATACAATTCGTGAGAAAACTAAACGAAAGTACGTATCAACTCTAAAGGATGAAAGCAATACAAAATATATTTATTATTTACTAGACTGTTTTGCCATATATTATTTTTTATTTACAGGGAGGCTAACAGACGTACTCATTCTAAACCGGGAACAGTACCGTTTGTTGCAGAGAGACAGAGACATGTTGTTCGACAAGACGTTTAATAAAGTATTAATATATATTATTGTACTGTCTGCATTGTTTTATAAATGTAATAATAAATTTATTTCATTACAAACGAAAACATTATACTTTGATTTTATTAAAATCCCTAACGACTCATTGATCAATATGTATACAGCAAATAAAAATGATGTTTTCGTTTCGTTGAATGCTGCTCAGCGAAAAAATAATTCCTATAATATAATAGACTAATATAAAAAATTATTAAAACTAGAATTTACAGAAAGTGAATGGCACAAGACATCTTTTTATATATTAAAACATAATATATTTCAAAGGGTAAGTAAAGTGAATGGGAATAACATTAGCTCGTAGACTAAATTATATTATTTTATTTATTGTTTATTGTAATAAATAATTTTATTAAAATTATACAACGCATCGCTATAATGATTCGTAAACCGTTACAAACTTCAAGCAGTGATTAATGTCTCGCTTAGCGTAGATTACAACGATTAATTAATTTTCTTCCATTTTCTTCTCGCGTATTTACCTTAGCAGACGTTAATAAATTTGGCGATACAAAGACATTTCTGTATGTACTTTGCTCTCGATATCCAAGCACAACGAATGTCAGCAAACTAGCTAAATCATGCTGAGTCTTTATTCTTTGTATTTTTCAACGGTATTTGATAAGCGATTTGTTGTTGCACCACCTCTTTACTTTTTGAAGTCCGTATTATAGCTGCTATGCGTTTTACTCGAGTCAGTTTCCGTAAATCAATGCGAAACAAGTTTACTGTTCTCTTTTTTTTTGTTCTATACATAAAACGTAGCATGACAAGAAGTGTGTTGTATTCAATTCGACATCAGATACTTAAATCCGCATAAGCTTCTTATTAAAATACTATTTTGACATTTATCAATTGTCGTCTGTCTTTCATGTGATGTTTTACGTAGGATAAATTGACGGCCTTTTGTGTAATGCGATTCAATGCGTCCGTATCATTCGGCGTAGGG